CTTCAGGATTCTTGATGACATTTGCAGGAGGAGCAGTCTCTTGGCAGTCTAAGTTACAGAAGTGTGTTGCTCTATCAACCACAGAAGCAGAATACATAGCAGTTACTGAAGCCTGCAAGGAAGCTTTATGGATAAAAAAGTTTCTACAGGAATTGAGCTTGAAACAGGAAGGATATACTGTTTACTGTGACAGTCAGAGCGCCATTCACCTCTCCAAGAATTCAACATACCATTCTAGATCCAAACATATTGATGTGAGATATCACTGGATTCGTGATGTGCTTGAGATGAAAGAATTACAGTTGGAAAAGGTGCATACCAATGATAATGGTTCAGATATGTTGACAAAGTCTTTGCCTAAGGAGAAGCTTAAAGCATGTAGGTGAAGAGCGGGCTTGGTACAGCCCACCATATGAGCTGGAGGGGGAGAATTGTTGGGTCCAGTCCATATGTGGGCTTGGATAATTGGGCCTATTGAGCCCAAATCAACAAATCAAAGAAATTAAAAGAGGAGAGAGAAGGTGAGAAAAGAAGATTAGATTGCAGCGTGCGTGCGGCGGCGTGAAGAGAAAAAAGAGGAGAGAGAAATAGAGAGAGAAAGTAAGGTTTCTGAGTTTTTTGCTTGACGATCGGTGGCCAAACGTTGTCAGTTTCGGCCCAAATTTTATGTGGAGAATCCTTGCAGCAAGCTCTACAATCCTAACGGTATTGATCTACAGTTTACCCTCTCTAAGGTACTTTCCTGCGATATCCACTCTGTGAGACCTATAATTCTCTTTTGAGGAGATCCATCCTACGTGACGAAGATATGCTATCCTTGAGCCAAGATATATGATCTTGATGTTATTCTGATTCTCTAGTTATTCTAGAGAAGACCTACTGTAAACCTGTTATCATTATTATTGATAGTGGAAGTTTGAGGTGGACTACGGTCCCGTGGTTTTTCCCACATTGGGTTTTCCACGTTAAAAAGATTTGGTCTCACTGTGTGATTGATTTATTGCTCTATTGTTTATGCTGTGCTGATTGATATTAGCATTTTGATATCAAGTTGGTATTTTGATGAGGAACCTATTTTGATACACAAAGAGGGAAAATAATTATTCCGCATTAACAGGTTTCGAAAGATGTAAGAGCCTAGTTTCCATAAAAGAGATTGAGATTATGTTTGATTTAGAGTTTTGTACACAATACTATAATTGAAACAAATATAATTTTATCTTTGTGTACCAGAATTTAAAAGATCAATTAAAATAAACATTTGAATAGGTATTTATACTTCAAATCATTCAAATCAAGGTTTGCAATATCGTACCATATCAGTGTTTCGAGGTTGGCTCAACACGATACGGTACTAGTGTATCGAGCGGCACACCAGGGTGTACCGAACGGTACACCAAAACTTACCGAGTGGTTTCCTTTCATTGTAGCACTGTAGATTTACAATGTATTACTATAGCACTGTAGCACGAACCGTCCGGTCCGCGTACCGATATATCGTTGGACCGGTACGTACCGTCCGTACCGGATGGTACCATTCGAAATTGCATACCATGATTCAAATAAGATATTAAAAAAAAGATTTTGCCCAAATTAAAATTTTGTATAAAATATTAAAGTTACAACAAGACAGATAAATACACACACATACATATATAAATAAATAAATATATATATATATAAAATAAAATCACTATAAAGATTATTTGAAAACATTGTATATAATCTAGACTTATAACTTTGATCAAACTAACTACAAGCCTAAAAATATAATATTATAATAATTTATGAATAATGATAATAAAAAATGATATAATGTAATTTATAATATTTTTTAATAATATTTGCAATACATCAATAAAATACTGTAAATATTATTGAAAACTATTATAAATGAGCCAAATGAAAACATGTAACAGTTGAAAACTTATAAAAAATAAAAAATTTTGAAGGAAACACTTTTGAGAGGTATTTTGAATATTAAAAAAAAACCCTATATATATATATTTATAAACCCAAAATAAAGGCCTAAGAATTCATCGAGTCAAGATTCATATCTATCTATTTCAACAAATTCATGGATTTCACCAAACATTGAACACAATGGTTTTTGGATTAGTCCATTATCTGAGGTTAACATTTGTCATATTTTTTTCTTTTTGATTATACATAAATAATTCACGTCTATTTAAGTCTGATGTCACATAAGATTATTCCTTGCGTTAGAGGTGAGTTGATTCGAGTAATAATAAATATAATATCCTTTCTTGCAATGTTTGATCCCATTAAATGACAAGTAACTTTGCTGTAGTAGTTTCCACGATTTAGGAGAAGCAGAGCATTTATATTGCATGACCTTCTTTGCATTTATGTCTTCGACCATATGAGCATATAATTCACTAATTATTATTATTATTATTATTATTATTATTATTATTATTATTATTATCATTGGCATAAGTTTTTAGAACACAGAGAATTTGATCTGGTAAAAGTGAAAAATTAAGCCATCATCAATAAAGAGGAACGGAAGCCATTTGTCATATTGGAACATAAAAATTGTAGTAAAAAAAAAAGAAACCAATCATATGTTATTGTTATTATCCTTATTAAGCTATAATCATCGATTACATTGACAACATTAAGAATCAATTTACTATCATTGTTGTCATGTCATTTAAGAAATTGAATAGTAAGATGTTGATATCAGATCCCCTCTTACCACTGAATTTTATAATTTACAATTTGATATGACTTAGAAATTCTTACCCATAGTTGTCATGTCATTATTTATAAGAAATATAAGATGCACAATATATAATAATATTTTTTGTAAAGCAAAATATATTTTCTCCATTTTTTAAGATTTTGGTAAACATAAATAAGCCGACCTATAAATTTTTTTATGGAATTAACTCATTCTTTTTTATCGGTAAATAATTAAAAAAAATGAGAAAGAATATTTTATTATAATACAAAAAAATGACTAGAAATTAAAACTTTGAGGCTATATACTATACCGAAATATACATAACAGAAAATTTACGAGGTTAAAATATAAAAATAATAGTTTTAATTAAAATATCCTACGTGAGAAAAATATATTTTGAACGTTGATATTTTAATTTTATGCAGGATTCATTTTCTTGGGACATTGGATTTAGAAATTAGAATGAAGATATTTATTTATTTTCATAAAGTTTTTTCCCCCTTCTCGTGCAATTAAAAAAATATCTTTTACAAAAAAAAAAGGAAAAATAGGATAATGTACTTTGGAGACCGGATCGGGTCCGATCTGATCGGATGCGGATCGACTTCTGGCAGATTTGGTTCGACGTTTTGCAAGACCGAGTTAAAGATTTCGACACCCGGTCGAAATTTAAATTGAGCCGGACCTCCATGTGGCCCAGCCCGGTCGTATCGCCTTAAGTAGCCTCACTCCGTCCGACCCGCCAGGTCAGGGAAGGCGTTCCCCTAACTCGAGCGCCGCCTCGGAGCCTTCTTCGTCCCTGCTGTGACAGTCTCCGCAGGCGGTCGTAGGCGACGCCTCTTCTCCTGCTCTCTGGTTCCGTCTCGGTGGTCGATTGAGAGCGAGGCGGACGAGTGTTCGAGGGCCCAATGACCACTCGAATTACTCCCGGAGTGGGAGCCAACCTCCTCGGCCAGCACTCCGCGGAGAGGAATCAGGAAGCCACAACCTATGTGGGAAACCTAGACCCGCAGGTGCTCCTCGCCGCTTTCTCTCTTCTCTTCTTCCCCATTTTCAGCTGTGGGTCTTGATCCCTTAATCTAGGGTTTTTAAAGAAACCCTCCCCCTTCTGTTGTTTTGTTATATTGATGAATTAGCGAGCTATATGCTGCATGTATTCACATTTTTGTTGTTATTTGCAGGTTTCGGAGGAGTTGTTATGGGAATTATTTGTCCAAGCTGGCCCAGTTGGTAATTCACAAGCCTGTTGATGTTTCTTGGTCTTCGCGGTCGAATGCGATTTCCAATATCGTTCTCCTACAACCGTCGTCGTTATTTCATTGTTTTTTCTCTCTGCGATAACAACTCATATATGCTTGCTGAAATCACCCTACTTGACGATAAAAAAATGCATGCACATAGAATTCTTGCATGACCTACCAGTCGCTGCTGGCATAATATCTTACAAATCATGAACTGGCTAACTCTTTTGAATTTGTCAAGACCCATGCCTTTCTGTTTTCTTATTCTAGTTTGTGAGGTAGTCAGTAAAAGGTAAAATTCAACTTGTAAAGCTTCTTGAATATTAGCAACTATGCATGGACTTTTGTTATTGTCTTGGTTATTCTTGCCCTGTATTGGTGATGAACAGTTTACATTATATTACATATTATTCTACAAGTCCATATTTTATCTTGGGATGTTAGCTACATCATAGGTTCTTTCATGCATATATTTACTTGATGAATCTGTTTGTTAGATAATCATCACCTAAAATGTTAGAAGAGGATATAATGAGGGAAACTATTTAAGGTGGTTCATGCACGTGCTAAGGAATTCTAGTTGGAAGAGGTCAGACAATTAAATATCCTAGTGTAAGGAGAGTTAGATAGAGACCTAAGAAGATTTTATCAGAAATTATAATTTAGATTTAGATTCTTTTAATTTAACTAAGGATGCTGCTTTATACAGAGCTTGATGTTGTCGTTGTTGTAGGATAGTAAAGATTGACCTTCAATCTTCCCTCTTCTCCTCTTCCTCTTCCCTTATGACTATCTTTTCAGAGAATTAGTGCTTGGGGGGTGAACCATCCAATGCATTTCCTAGCAGGAAGAGGTAACTGAATTGGTTAACAATATATTGAACAAGTTTGAGAGTAGGATAAGGGATATTTTCTAGTTTTATTAGCTAGAAGGCTTCTATTAGTATATGTTCAAATTACAAATTCTGTGACACATACCCTAGTTGTCTTGTGGCCATCTGTTAGATCTTCTTATGTCATGTTCCTAGTGCAAGTTAAACATTATAATCATTTTCCTTCGAGTAGTTAAGACATAATATTCATTTAGACTCGAGTATGATAGACCTCCAAGTAGTCAATGTAGATAAAAATGACTAATAAACGTTTGTTTTTTTATTTGTTCTGTTTTTGAGATCCTATAAGCATGTGAACAATTCTTTCTTTTTGGCTTCCTTGACGTTTGTGCTACTGATGTCTGTGTGGTACTATACAATTAAAGTTGTTCTTTCCTGTTTATGCTTCCACAACTAATTAGTTTGTATGTGGACCCTATTGATATAGCATGGCAAGGTAATGCAGGATTAATAGAGATATGAATGGGAATCAAGGCATTTGGTAATACTTCTATTTTCATGACCTATGCAACAATACATTCATATTTATAATTTAAGATATGAAAATCAGGATCGGATTGGATTGGCCAAATGAGACTTTCAGGTCAGGATTGATCTATACTTGGTCAAGATCTTTTGATCCTTCACTAGGGATTTCCCAACCATAAACAATTGGGGATATCATGGCATCCAGTCATCTTGGTGTAAAAGATCAGCTAAGTTATTTTAATCTCGTGGGCTTTAATACCTCGAGGGTTTTTATGTTTGACAGAGGATCTTACGCAAATGAAGGATATCCTTTAGATCTGATGCAGCCTACCTTTCAGATCTGATTTAATTATCTTCATAATAGACATGACATTTAGTTCTATTAGTTTAGGATTAAAATTTCTGATTGATAATATTGAGTTATTGCCTTATTTAAGTTGATTTTCCAAGAGCAGTATGACAAAATTTTGAGTCCTTTTTAAACATTGCACAGGTGTATCTGGTGGATACTAGTTTTTCTGTTATTTGACTTAATATATGTTCTAAATTGGGGAGAAAGGAGCTGAATTATTTTTTAGTAAAGTAATTCAGTTTTCATTTTTTTTATTATTCCTAGAGTATTACAATGGTAATTCTGCTCATGTTAATCTATATCCTATTATGCTGATATGCTGAGTATTTGAGTCCTTATTTCTTTTCCTAAGAGTCTCACAATCAATAGGAATTTAGATATATATCCCTTACAAATTGAGCATTTGAGTATATCTCCTTATTCTGTTATTTTCCTAAGAGTCTTCTTCAACCACTTGAAATTGAGTTGAAAGTGAGCTTACTTGAAGTTACTCCAAGTCCTATTCTTCTTCTCTTTAGGTGTTTCCTATTTTCACTTCTTCTTTCATATGCTGAGTTCTTTGAAATGTTAAGTTATCAGTGATTTTATGTCCAAATCAGTCCTAAACCGATTAAGATAGCGTCCATGTGACTTCTCAGGGAGGTTACACCAATATTCTTCTAGGTTTTTCTGGTGGTATGTGGAGTTGTAGACTATTAATTTTCTACTAAAGCTTAAACATAATGATGATAATCTCAAATCTGACTTTGTTTTGCAGTTAATGTATATGTTCCAAAAGATAGGGTTACAAATCTTCACCAAGGATATGGCTTTGTGGAGTTTCGGAGCGAAGAAGATGCGGATTATGTTAGTACACATTCTTGTCTTTCGTGCTTGATTTTCTTATATTTTTTGTTGATCACTTTGCTGTGCATTGGCCATTTTTCTTTCCAGTAATTTTCACCTTTTTTGGTGCTGTTCTTTTGCAGGCTATTAAGATCTTGAACATGATTAAACTTTATGGAAAGCCAATACGTGTAAACAAGGTTCTCTTCTATTTGATATTCCTTTTACCTTTTCTGAAGCACTACTAATTTTTATCTTTATGTTCAACAACTTTAACACTAAGTAGCATTGTTAGGTTTAATGCAATAACCTTACTTCACAATATGTTGGTATCTGAAATTTAAGTCATGCTGTCATGGTTGCTTTGATTATGAATTCTGGTTTAGGTTTTGTCATGGTAATAACAGGGCTAATTGCCATTAGCACGTAATTGCAAGTTTTACAAGGGCTAATTGAGGTAGGTAGCAGAAGAATTTGGATGTTGTATTGATTTCTGATATAAATACATGCTACAGGTTCAAATTGAAGCCAAACAGTAGAACAGTGAAATTATTGGAATGTATTAATGCACCAACATGCTTTCCTTACAGAACATGCCAAGTAAAGCAGCTTGATTCTGCAGATGGCAAATTGAATCAATTTTTTAGTGCCTCCGATCATGAAAAGATTTGACATGGAGAATTTTTACAGTTTTCTGCAGTTATGAGTTAACAATTTTCTCTCATGTGTTTTAGAAACAAATCATAAAATGGAACAACCTATTTGCTTCCGATGATTAAATTTCACACTACTTTTATAACATCCATTTCATTCTCTTATTTTATTTTTAGCAAATCATGTTTCTCTGACCATCACCAATGTCTAAGCAAATGTCTTTATGAATTTAACGGTTATTCAGTTTTTATGAACTATCTGATATTTATGTCTTTTTTACTTGGATTATTCTTTTATTGCTTTCACCATAAAAACTATGCTTGCTTCATTGTGAAACATGAATTTTGCAAAATGCTTGCCATGTCAATATCGGACACCAGTAGTTGTTGGATACTTCTTAACATGTGCCGGGAATTTCAAAACGTAAAGGACAGCTCCACCATCTACTCTTTTTTTTGTTAAGCATATTGCAGGACAATGAGATCATCTAAATAAGCCATAAAGGCATGTCAAATATTGACTAAATGTATCTAATTTCGATGCTTGTCTTACATTTTGTGTACTTGGTGGTTAGTGTACATCAATGCCATGTCTGACAACCATAGATTTTAAATATTGTTCAAAGTTCACAAATCATAATCAAATGTAAAACATATATGTGTCGTAGACATGCCCATGCTGTCTCATGTCTTGTGTCCTTTTATGAAATTTGCTATGCCAATGTGTCCATGTCACATGTTGGTATCCATGATTCAGTCTTTTGGTGTATGTGTTGCTTCAGATCCTTTATCTGGTTGTTCTTTTACAAAGCTTGAAGTTGCTCATGTCCTTGTTGATCATAATAAATAAGTTTATAGAGAAAGCAGTTGTTGATGAGGTTATTATGAAGGATTTGTTACAAAATCAGTGTGATCAAGGTGTGCAAAGAGGTGTCTAAATGAGGATTGAATTTTGCAGTTCTCCTTAAACAGGGCTCATGGCATTTATTAATAGCAAAATTTAAGCATGCCTTGTCGATTTCTTTACAAAAGACTCGATTTTTAAAAGGCTCCTTTGTGATGTTACATCTGCTTTATCCGTTTGTCCTTAATTATTAATCATGAAATCTATGTCGCTAGGGATTAAAGCATTATTTTGTAAAATTTATAAATTTCCCATTCTTTAAGAAAAAGGAAAGAGACCATCTTTATGTTTCACTGCAAGGGCTAAATTAAACAAATGATTTTTTTTCACATATTAGTTTCACTTTTTTTTTCTTTCTTTCTTTATTTGCTTCTTTGCATTGTCACTTTTTTGTCTTGAGTACTTTTTCTTCAACCACCTTTGTGTTAGTTCATTTCACATTTTACATAACAATCTATACTTTGAGTTGATTAGTCCTTTTTCCTCCGTCATTTAGATGTTATTGAATGATAATTTATCTTAATATTACACTTATATCATGTTCCATACTTATTTTTTATGTACTATTTAGATGTTATTACAGAAAAAAAATTTCTGTGCCGAACTGTACTTACACCTCACCTTGCACCTCACATAGGGTCCAAGAGATGTTGGCATATTAATGTTTACAAATAATTCTTCAAGAACTTTTTAAAGATCTTATTGTTCTTCCTCTATTATTAAGTCTCAAGTTGTTGGTCTGATTTTTTATTTTTCCTCTATGACGATCTTTCCTTTCAAACAGTTGGTTACACAAATATTTTCTAAAAGCATATGATTTTTGTCAATCAACCTACTGATCATTAATTCTTTTGCCTATTTTAGGCTTCTCAAGACAAGAAGAGCTTGGATGTAGGGGCAAACCTTTTTGTTGGTAATCTTGACCCGGTAAAGTCTTTTTCCTTCTATTAGCTGTATCTGTCATTTTTAATGTGGAATATATGATTTTTAATTCATGTGTCTGCTGCAGGATGTAGATGAGAAGCTTCTCTATGATACATTCAGTGCATTTGGTGTTATTGTAACAAATCCGAAGGTAATAATTTAAATTGTTCTCTTTGAACTCTTTGAATTACTTCTGCAGCTTACTGTAAATGTAGTATGGGAAATACAAGGCTGCATGACTATCCTCACACAATATCATCCTTTCATTTACTTTCATTGTTTTCAAATATCATTCTTTGAGCATAACTTGAAAATCTTCTATTAATTGATAATTTTATTCTGTTAAAAGTGAAACATTTTCACTTCAAGGATAAGCTTGTTTTCGAGAGATTTTTCATATAGTTAATTTGATATGTCATGAACATAAATTTCATTGTTTATAAAGTATGTTGTTTCTATCTGATGATTTCTTGTTTTTTTTCATGGTTAAGCGTTGTCTGTTTGTAATTTAATAGTTTCATAACTTGTGTTGGAGTTTTATTAGGTGAGTTAAGCTGGGTCTAGATGTAGAATGAAAATCTAGGCTAATAAATATATGAACATATGCTGTGAAGCCATTAGTGTTTTTAAAAGCGCTAGGATCTAAAAGGTGTCAAGGTCCTAAAACACCCGAGGCGCTAGGTGTTTGCCTGAACGAAGTGAGACGCTCTAGAATATGAAAATATAAAGTATATATATTATGTTGATAAATATGATTATAAAAATAAAATTGTCATATCAAATTGAAATCATAGAGTACCAAATCATATTGTTCATCTTCAAATAACAAAACTGTCAAAGCAATTCTAAACAGGGATTAACCAGTGCTAAATAGTTCCAAACAAGGATGAACTAGTGCTAAACAATTTTAAAGAGGGTTTGAGAACAATTCTAAAGAGGGATTAAGGTGTCTATGGAGGAAGATGGGGATGGAGACGGCGGTAACGGAGGAAGCTTCGGACGAAGGTTTCGGCGACCGAGGGAGTTGCGCACGAAGGCAGCGACGACGGACGTAGGGTTTAGGTTTTAAAGTTGGGTTTGGTGTGCGGGGGTGGGGGGTTGTGGTTTAGTGTTAGGGCTCTTCTCTTTAGTTGGTTTGATTGAACCAACTTGAAAGGTGGGTCGGGCGCGTGAGGGTGGGGGTGTGTGGTTTAGTGTTAAGGCTCTTCTCTCTAGTTAGTCTGATCGGACCAACTTGCCTATTTAATTGAACTAGGCACAAGCACAAGCCACCTTCTCTTGGGCGCTCGCTCGAGGCATCCGGTGCTTGGGCTTAGGTGAGAGCCTAAGTAATGCTTTAATGAAGCGCGTCACTCAGAAGTTGTGTGAGGCGCTCAAGCCTTGTCTCACCTCGCCCGGGCACCTATTAAAAACACTAGCCAGTAGTTCGAATGTCTCTCATGAATCACACATGGCAAAAAAAATATTATACTTAAAATTTTGCACTTTTTGATGGTATGGCATCAACCAAGTGTTTGGAAGTGTCTTAATAATATATGAACCTAAATAGCAGTCTCTAAGTTGATCAGTACATCCATTTCTCTCACTATGCATTTGGGATGTGTATACTCATGCAGTTGGACATTGAATTAAACTGCTAGCCAACTATGTTGGTAAGTGGTAGCATTAAGGGAATATTTCCTTCCGAGATCTAATATGAACCACTAGCGATTTTAAAAGGTGCTCGGGCGCTCGCCTAGGCGCTCGGGCGAGGTGAGACGAGGCCCAAGCGCCTCGCTAATCTACCAGGCGGCGCGCTTCAAATAGGCGCCGCCTGGGCGCTCACCCGAGCCCAGGCGCTCACCTCGCCCGAGCGCCTCGCTAATCTACCAGGCGGCGCGCTTCAAACAGGCGCCGCCTGGGCGCTCACCCGAGCCCAGGCGCTGGGCGCTTCGGGCGAGCGCCTGGGTTAACCAAGGCGACCGAACCAGGATTTTAGGTCTGGTTCGGTCTATGATGGTTAGTTGGTTCAATCGAACCAACTAAAACTGTTATAAGTGACAACCGAACCCTAACCCTCGTCGCTGTCGATCCTGATCCCGATGCCGCTGCTTGCCGCTGTTGCTGCTCGCAAACGCTGCCGTTGTCGTCGCTCGCGCCTCCCGCTGCTCGTCGTTGTCGCTGCTCGCAAACATTGCCGTTGTCGTCGCTCGCGCCTCCCGCTGCTCGCCGCTCTCGCTACCGTTGTCGCTTCCTCTTTTCTCAGTTAGTAGGCTCAGCACCCTATGATTTTTTTGTTTTGAATTTTGAAACTTTTTGTTAATGTGACATTATGATTTTTTATCTTAGATTTTCTTAATTTAATAGTATATTTTTATTTAAAATTTTAAATAATTATATTTATTAATTATATTATATATTTTTATATTTTAGCGCCTAGCTTCGTTCGGATGAGCGCCTAGCGCCTCAGGCGTTTTTGGACCTTAGCGCCTTTTGGCGCCTAGCGCTTTTTAAATCACTGTGAACCACCCAAAGGTTCTTAAAATTGGGATGTGTATACTCATGCAGTTGGACATTGTGAAAATTAAACTGCTAGCCAACTATGTTGGTAAGTGGTAGCATTAAGGGAATATTTCCTTCCGAGATCTAATATGAACCACCCAAAGCTTCTTACGTAATGTTTATGCAGTTTGCCTAAACTATCTTGCTGATACCACCCAGGACTTCTCTGAAGCATCAGTTATATGCAAAACTAAAATAATGTGTATTTTCTGTTGAAGCATTTTTTTAATGTATTTTATTTGGTTCAGCATTTACCTTTTGTGAAAAGACATGTATATCGCATATTCTATCATTTACGATGTTAATCAACTGTCATTATTTATGGATCCTGTTTACAATTACATGTACATGCTACATGTATGTCACTGTCAGCTTTCAAATTTATATGCATTTTTAGATAATGCGTGACCCTGAGACTGGGAACTCTCGAGGCTTTGGTTTTGTTAGCTATGATTCCTTTGAGGCATCTGATGCAGCGATAGAGGTACTACGGTCTAATTTACTTGATACTTTTTATCAATTTGGAGAACATTTTAGTTATATATGCATAGTTCATGGTCTAATTTGATTTCTTTGTTGGATGTGCATTGCATATATCCAGTCCATGAATGGTCAGTATCTTTGTAACCGTCAAATCACTGTTTCATATGCATATAAGAAGGATACCAAAGGAGAACGCCATGGCACCCCAGCAGGTATCTTTTTGTTCTAACCTTCTTGTACCATATTCTTTTATTTTTCAGGACTTGACTAGGCTGCAATTTGGGTTGTTGGCTCAAGTCCAGCCCATTCAAAACTTGAGAAAGAAGCCTGGTGGCAATTTAAAAATGTATTGAGCTTGGCTTGGAAAAGCCTGACGATCTCAATTTGGGCATATCAGCGCTGAGCCTCAACCCAACTTAACCCCCACCCTGGTTAGGTTGTTGGAAACCCTGAGTCAATCAACCCAACCTGACCTGATCTGAAACATCTAAACATGGGTTTGTAGTCCAGACACCAGATTGAGCATGTGTTTATGCGCAAATGGCCTGAGTTTTAGCCCTAGCTTTGACATATTGGTGTAACTTATCCATGCCCATTCATCATATTCTTAACAGTGTTATCATCAGTTGCTATTGACCTGTCCTTTTTAACCTGACTCCATGCCTTTCCTAGTACTAAGATGTTGAACTATGGACATTTCAAATTGTAATATTTTGGGCTTAATGGGTTATTATGAAATAAGTTCATGGTTTGGTTTATTCTGACTCCCCATTCAATAATTTTATTTTTTTTGAACGGTATTCTGTATGACCTGAAATTATTTATACAGTTTCGGTCAGGTTATTCTTGTTGCTTAATTTTTTTTTTTTTGTGATTTATGCAGAGCGGGTTCTAGCAGCTAGCAACCCAGGAACTCAGAGGATCAGACCACATACCTTGTTCGCTAGTGGACCACCAACGCTCCCTAATGGCCCCCAGGCAAATGGATCAGTTCCCCCAGCAATCCCTCCCAGGCCATTTGCCAATGGACCACTACCACCAGCTCCACTTCCAGCAGTACGCCCCCCATCGATGCCAGTTGGACAATTTCCTCCCCCAATGCAGTGGCCTGCCCACCCTCAACCTGGACAAGGCCTTCCACAACCTGTGATGCCTCCACCACCACTCCAACAGTTCAGGCCTCCAGCAAACTTGCCACCACCTCCACCCACAGGTATGATGAGGCCGCCACCACCACCACCTTCTGGGGTGGGTGTTCCACCACCTGCTCTATGGAGACCACCTCCACCACCTCAGCAGATGGCTGGAAGGCCCATGCCTCCACCTCCGATGCCCATGCCACCAAATATGATGCCAAATGGCTCGGTTCCATGACATCACACAGGTTCTATAAGTTTCATTTGTCCTGATAATTCTGTGGAATCTCTTAAAACTTATGTGCACTAACTGTGGATCAGAAAATCTAGTGACTGATATGTCTTTTGGTTGTGTACTACTCTTTTAAGTATTGCACTGACTTACATTGTATAGCCGGGTGATATGACATCTTGGTGAGTAGATTTTGTTTATGATTGTAAAAGAGTTTTGAGTGTCAGAAATGCTGTGTAGACAGTGTATGAAATCTGGCTAAATCGTTGTCAACTTTGCTGTGGATTTCTCCGTATATTATATATCCGATCACTATTTCTGAAAAACTAGCTGTAATGTTATTTTAGCTGCCTTCGTGTTTGGATCCAATAAGAGTTATCACATTTCCCATGTGGCATTGCAATCACTAAATAGGGGAATGGGATTGGTCCGGTAGACAGCATCCATGGAAAGCCCCACTTTGGGGATGCTTAAAAAGGTTTACAGGTTTTATGAATTGAGTGAAAGTTTGAGAGTTGATTGTCTATAATTTTAATTATCTTTGTTGTCTTAATAGAAGGGTAGCTTTTAGCGTCTGTCTACTTGAAGTGACAGTCGCGGAAACATCAAAAAAAGAAAGTTAAGTCGCTCACAAATTTCTCTTTTGTTTAGGTTTACCATCAGAGCAAGCCATTTTCATGGAAACACCATCAATTATATTTATATTTTGATAAGTGATATGTGGCCCCGTCCATGGCAATTATTTAAGGATTGGACCCGTTCCAATTTTTTTATTTTTATGTTTTTCCTAATCATGGCATGGCTAACAGTTCACAGATGGCATCATTATTTTTTGTAGTTTATTTATAAAAAAAATGTATAGTTCCACCAACTACACATGTAATAGAGCATCATTCAGGACATAAATAATATAAATAATACATAAACATATTTAAAAAAAAAAATAATTCCAATGTTATCAATCTGCACACTTCAGTATAAAATGGTACACCACGTTAAGTTAATTATATTATATAATTGTTTTATTTTAACTAATAAAACAATTTTCCCAAAATATTCAAATCTTTTTAAACCCCTAAGCTGCAAAAAAATTAAAAAGCGATAAAAAGAAAATGTTCTTTATCTTTTTTTTTTATTATTATCTTGGATCCCAGTCTAAGTCGATAGAACAATGCTATTAGTTATTTAAATCTACCCTAAAGATTAAAATCGCTTCTTTCGAGAAAAGGAAAGATAATGGACGTGTTCTAATCATATTATGTCGAGAGGATAATATTTCACCTTCCAACAATTGCATTCCAAATATTTTCTCCAAAATTACCTACTTCTATGATACCTTACTACTTCAAAAAAAAAAAACCCTTTGTACTTGTAAGCGTCCACTAGAAGACTAAATCTATTGGCACAATACTAGATAGAATTAGATATCTTGATTAGGTTAATATAATGGACAAAGTCGAGATTCAATCCAGGATCTTAAAACTTCTCTTACCGACAGCATCTACTAACATGTTACCCAGCGACCTCTAGTATTTCTTAATACTACTTAGGTGAATAATCTATTAATTATGAGAGCTTGTTCTTTACCTCTTGCACGTTAATTTCACAATGATAGAGAATATTCTACATCAATTATATGCTGACATTTAATCTTGCCACCACATTTGCACCTTTCAAATCAAACGATCTCGACGTACTCATCGGACTTGATATAGATCGAGAAACATTTTGACGCCTAGCAAGATGGAGTCATAACCTTAGCCTGTATACTCGTGATTTAATCTTGATATATTAGTAAGAATACTATTAGGGACATATGTCATGTCGTACGTATATTGGGAGAGATCTTTAATTTTTTTTAATTTAATATCATAATTTTTTTTTCTAATTTATCTGAGGATGCAAGAGGATATGCACCTCTTTCATAGATATTTTCTAATATTAATCAAACTTTTTTTCTTATGTGAGCTCTAAATATTCGTAAAATAATACTTTCATCTAGTATTGATCAGAGTTAAACTTTAGTAATCTTTTATCTTCTTCTGCTACCTCTTCTTCTTGTTATTTAAAAAGTAACATAAAATTTTTATCATCTATCATATTTATCTTTAAAATCATTCAAAATAATTTTTTTAAGCCTTACGATTCTATAATAGTTCTCATCATAACTTTTTTTCAATCTCTAGTAATCTTTTTCATTAAATCTAAATAATAATAAATTTTAAAATAAATCATAAAAGTCATCATCTTCTGTACTTTCAATCTTCTCTTAAAAGTGATCAAACTTTGAATCTTTCACTCTTTCTCTAAAACCCACTAATATTGTGACGATCTTTTCCGTCGATCATATTTCTCTTGCTACAAACCACTCTACTAATTACTTTCTTGATCTCCTCTTCTTGATGGGTGTCGTGATTAAATCTATTTCTCATCAATGCTATGAGTAATTTTTTCTTTTCTAAAGTTTCTCTTTTATTGTCTCTCTCCCTCTCTTCATAAATTTTCTCTCTCCTTAGAATTTTTCTCTCTTTGGATTTCTCTCTCGATAAATTCTCTCTTTTTGAGATTTTTCTTTCTCTCTCTATGAATTTTCTCTCTCTAGCAATCCTATTTTCTCTTTATAGGTTTATTTTTTTTCTCTCTAGATCTATTTACTTTCAATATGTATATTTTCTCTCTCTAACAATCTATATTTCTCTTTGTTGATTTTTTGATAGGATCTTAATGGAAGGTTCCCAACAGGGTAATATAGGTGCTGGTAGCATCTATTTCCTAGACGCTCTCTTTGGGTAGATTGTTCTCTCTTTTCATCTCTCCAAGATTTAGCTTAATCCTGAGGATCAAACCTGCTTTGATACCATATTAGAAATCATATCATAATGAAAATCAAAATATAATATTATGTTAAAAAATCCTCATAAAATAATGATGGTCAACAATAAATTACGTAAGAGTGACAACATAGGAGAATAGAGAAACTTTAAATTTTATATTGAATATAATAATTTATAATATCTCAAATCTCGAATATATGAACTTATACTCTAATTCATCTCTCTTCCATCTTATATATTTTTTAAAGCATTACATGAGCCCTTTATTTATAGAGGGATAAAATCAAGACTTTGACTTCTCTCATCATGGTATCTCTTATCTTGACTAACGTTCTTAAATCAAAATTCTATTTGATCCTAGCCAAGAGAGGCAAAAAAAGAGAGGTTTTTTAAGCATGTAATATTTCAAAACCTATACTTGACTAAGACCATTTGCTACCACATTAATCCCAACTAACGAGGTGGAGCATGGGTAAAAAGAAAGCTGCGAGGGTTTGGTTTTGTAAGTAATAAAGTTCTTTTTATCTTTTCTCTTTATCTCCTATTTCTCTTTTCTATTTTCAAGCCTTGATTTCTATAAAAATTGTTTCTCTTAATAAGGTATCAGACAAGATTGATTCTCAAAGTCAATTTAGATCTTAAAAGAGATACATAGAAAAGAGAAAAATCTATCATGGAGAGAGTATCTATCGGAGATAAGAGACTGTCAAGTGAAAAATAAGTACTACAATATTTATTTTATCCCATCGAGAGTCTTAATTAGATTTCGAGAGAGAAAATAGATTTGTTATATATAGAGAAAAATAAATAATGCTATAGAGAGAGAATATAAACAACTAGAAAAAAATAGCATAGAGAAAAAATCTAAGGAGAAATTATAGAGAAACAATTTGAAGAGAGAAAAACTATAAAGAGAAGAAATCTCGAACAACACTTATGATATCGATAAGAAGATTACCAACATGAATTCCTTCAACATCCTTGATTTATCGACAAGAGCTATAATCACTAAAGTATCTAAATAAATATATTTTTTTAATATCAAAATATTTAAAATATTATTGATAAGAGTTTAACAGAGCCTAGGAAAGAAAAAACACTGAATTATATTAGATTATTAGATTACCAACATGAATTTATATTAGATTATTTAAAAATCTGAAGATGAATCATACTGAATTTATATTTTTTTTGTTGTCATAAACTATATGAAAATCAAAAAGATTAATAATGTTAAAATTATGAAAAAAAATAAATCATTAATATCTAAATTTAATCATGTTGTATATTCAATAAATTAATAAATTTCTTAATGATCTAATAAAAATATATAAGATGGCCAGAAGAAGAGGTGGTCAAAGCCGATGTTCCACCTCTCCGCAAACGCCACCGAGTCAGCGATGACACCCCCGAGATGAAGTTAATTGTCGCCACGACGCAGCCATCGATGCAAATGAAGCCTCTGTCTTCTTGAGTTGGTGCTGCTCTGTCCGTCTCATCATGGCCCGCGCTAAGAAGATCATCCTGGCCGTCTGATTGATGATCCATACGAGTTGATCGAAGTCGTTGATGGATTCAATCCGAACCGGTCCGGGTTTTGGGCAGCTTTCTTTTGGTCGGATCGAGTCGACCGATTGATTGCGCCAGACCACACGTCTTCTGTCGCCACTCAAGTTACGACCTTACCCGTGATTCGTTTCGCGGTCCATGTCCGCCACAGCTTGCTTCTCTCGAAGAGGAGGTGGGCCGTCTTTTCTCTGGCGTCCTTACAAGGGAGTAACGTGACGACGTTTGTTTCTGGTTGGGTGGCGCGGCCGAGACAGTTGATCCAATAATCCAAGGCATCGACTCGTTGCCGGAGTCGCGGAATTAGAGATTGATTCCGATGCCCGTTAATACGTGCCGATCGCCCATTCCCCCACCGCCAAGTGCTCCGGGTGGCTCTCCCTCTCTCTTCCCGCATGTAAAGCTCGCTTTGAGCTTAGGAGGAGGAGCCGAGCCGTCGGCCTCGTTTCTCCCTTGACCTTTCACGTCGCTGTGTCGGGGAATCGGCTTTGGATTACCCAGTTCTCCGCTCTCTCCTGCCGTCCTCCTCATCCTACTCGCTCTCCCTTGGGTGTCGTCGACTTCTTGAAATGCCTTGAAGAACAGTCTCTTCTCGTTCTCGTTGTTTCCTCTTGGAATTAGGTTACGTTTCTTGAATCCGGTTTCTTGAAACTCTTATGGCTCGAATCTTTGATCTTTGTCTCTGGTAATGTTCGACGTTCTTGAGCTGACTGCTGCTGTTGTTTGCCGTCGAGAAGCTGATGGGGAATTAGTTTCGGTGGAGTATTTGTAATTGGTATCCGTTTCGGTCATTTGTTAAGCTTGCAGCGATGAGAGATATGCACATTCTTCGTTGTTTCCTCTATTGGTTTGCTATTGTCATGTCATCTGTGCGATTCTTGAACT